AACCAAAGAAGAAATAAATTTTCTTTATCAATCAGAAAAAGCCACAATTTCCAAAGGCATATGATATTTTTAAAAATAAAATTTCTGAAAACTGACGTTTTTAACAAAATTCCGAGGATGGAGATCCCCTCAAACATAAGTATTCTGAGCCAGGTGGAACTAAAGTCCAAGGTGGCTCAAGACCAGAGAGGCCCTGTCGGGGGGCCCCTGTCCCAGGGGGGGCACCTGTCCGGGGGGGCCCCTGTCCCAGGAGGGGCACCTGTCCGGGGGGGCCTCTGTCCCAGGGGGAGCACCTGTCCGGGGGGGGCCCTGACTGGAGTCCCAACACATTTGAGATAAGTCAGCACGAAACCAATGGAATGGACACCGCGGGCTTTGCCCCTCGTCCTTCTCACTAAGATGCCATCTTCTGCCTGACGTCCCCGCTGAGCGCAGAAAGGATCCCCTCCCCCAAAGGTGCTTCACTGCCGGGTACAGGGCCCGGGAGCCCCGAAGTTGCAGCTCCCCGGGTGCCTTTGTCTGAAGGCCTGTCCCCGTGTCCGTGTGCCTGTGGGGCTGGCGGACGAGTCGTAGAGAGCCAGACGCCGTCCACACCTGAGGGTCACAGGCCTTTAGTCCTGTTGCCGAGAGCAGACAAGGCCCCCGGTGAGGACGGGGCCCCGGGACAGGCCAGCTGGCAGCTTCCAGACAGGAAGTCGGACCAGGGCATCGAGGAGCCCCGTGCTGTGGGCGAGACACCGCCGCTCCCATCCCACGGCCCGTCTGCCGAAGCCACGCCTCGGCCTCAGCCCCAGCGGCACCCCGCCCCGGCCGCCTGCTCCCCGCTGACACGGACTCTCCCCGCAGGCCCTGTCCGTGGGCATCTTCCCCTACGTGCTCAAGCTGCTGCAGAGCTCGGCGCGCGAGCTGCGGCCCCTGCTTGTCTTCATCTGGGCCAAGATTCTCGCCGTGGACAGTGTGAGTAGTCCGTGTCCTCCCCGTGGGCGTGAGCCGTGGTGGCGTGGCTACTGAGAGTGGGCAGGGCCACTGCGGGAGGACAGGGGTGGGTGGCAGGGGCAAGGGGGGCCTGCAAAGGAGCTGGTCCTGCGGCCAGGCCCCCTGGCCCTCTCCCCGCCGCCCTGGAAGCGTGTGCAAGCAGCGTCTGCCCTTCCCACATGAGAAGTGGACTGGGAGGCGCGTGGGGGCGGAACGTGCGGCGTGTGCTGGGGCGCACACCTCGCACCCCACGCCGCGGGGAACCCTCTGGCCATCTCGCTCACTCCCCCCCCCCCCCCGTCCTCTCCGCAGTCCTGCCAAGCCGACCTGGTGAAGGACAGTGGCCACAAGTACTTCCTCTCGGTGCTGGCCGACCCCTACATGCCGGTGAGGCCCGTGCTGTGCGGTGGGAGATGTGGGTCCTCTCGCCTGTTCTGCTGCGGGGCACCGCGTGGAGGCTCAAGGGAAGGTGCCCCGCCCCCCGCCACCCAGCTGTGGGCCGCCCAGCTGTGGGCCTCGCTCATGCTGCAGCCTCCGCTGTACTCCAGCCCCTTGACGTCAGCGCGTTCTTTCGCCGCTGCCCAGCTCCTCTGAGAGGGCGGGCTCGGCCTGTGTTAATCAGCGTCCCGGGCGGGCCTCTGCCATGTGGGACCCGCTCTCCCTCACGCCTGGGAGCTGAGTTCACTCAGCGACCGCGCACACCTGCGCTGTGACAGCTCACCTGTCGAGGGAGGCACCAACGTGCCCTGGGAATCAGGGAGGGAGCGAAGCTTAAATTCTAAGTAGGTTTTGTTACGTGGAGTCGTTAAAGCTCGGAGCGTGTGAGCAGCGTGTGTCACGACTCCTGTGAACACGCAGCCCCCGCTGCTGTGCTGTGGGAAGGAGGTGACGTAGTTTAGCCCAATGGCCGGTCTCCCTAATAAAGGCGTGTGAGCCGCCCCAGCACTGAAGGCAGGTCTGTGAGAGGCAGGTGGGCGTGTGTTTTAAGGGGCATTGAGGCGGCGTCATAGGGGAGGGGCAGTGCCAGGTGCCTGTGGCCGCCTCGGGCCCCCGCCGCACGTAGCTGGTCAGGCCCCTCCTGTGTCGGCACCGAGGGAGGACAGGAGAGTTTTGTTTTAAATATGTTTTTACTGACTTCAGAGAGGACGGAAGAGAGAGAGAAACATCCATGATGAGAGAATCATGGACCGGCTGCCTCCTGCATGCCCCCCACTGGGGATCGAGCCCCAACCCAGGCCTGTGCCCTGACCGGGAATCGCACCGTGACCTCCTGGGTCATAAGTCAATGCTCAACCGCGGAGCCAATCAGCCGGGGACAGAGTGTCGAGTTGATCTGTCCAACGGACGCCCGGGGAGAGGAAGGAGCTCCCTGTGCCTGACGCGGGGCAGCCGGAGCCTCGGATGAGCGGAGCCCCCGGCTGTGCCCGTCCTGGAGCTGCACCGCAGGGAGCAGCTGCGCTCTGCGGGCCTGAGGCCGGCTGACCCTCCGGAGGGCTGTTCGGTGCTGCAGCTCAGGGACAGGACCGCCGCTCGCTCGTGGTCTGGGTGGCGTCGTTGCGGGGCGCGGGCCGTGAGCTCCCGGAAGGTGCGCGGCTAGGGTGGCCTCTTCTTCCAGGCCGAGCACAGGACCATGACGGCCTTCATCCTCGCCGTGATCGTCAACAACTACAACACGGGCCAGGTGGGTGTCCCGGGCACCACGGTGAGGGGTGCAGGGGGGCCCCGCCTTCCACCAGCCACCGCAGGGGCCATTGGAACGGGTGGGACTTAGAAGGAGGGACATGCCGCAGCCCTCGGGCGCCCTGGGCGGGTGGCCCACGCTGTCCTCTGCCGCGCAGGAGGCCTGCCTGCAGGGGAACCTGATCGCCATCTGCCTGGAGCAGCTCAACGACCCCCACCCCCTGCTGCGCCAGTGGGTGGCCATCTGCTTGGGGCGCATCTGGCAGAACTTCGACGCGGCCCGGTGGTGTGGGGTGCGGGACAGCGCCCACGAGAAGCTCTGCAGCCTCCTCTCCGACCCCATTCCCGAGGTGAGACCCCGGGGCCGCGGCGCTGGAGGTCCTGCCGGGCGTGTGGGTGAAGGGGCGCCACTGGGACAGCACCTCCGATGGGGCTGCTCCCACCAGGGTGCACCTGGCGTCCGGAAGCTGCGCCCCCACGGCCCGTCCCCTGAACCCCGTCTCCCTCACCGGCACAGCCCCTCAAGCCGGGCCACGAGGCCCCCCCTCCCCAGCAGGGCGGGCGGGCTGTGACCGGTGCCTCCGCAGGTGCGCTGCGCGGCCGTCTTCGCCCTCGGCACCTTTGTGGGCAACTCTGCCGAGAGGACTGACCACTCCACCACCATCGACCACAACGTGGCCATGATGCTGGCCCAGCTCATCAGCGACGGGAGCCCCGTGGTGCGGAAGGTGCGTGCCCGCCCCAGCCGTGACCCTGTCCACAGCCGGAGCGCTCAGCTCCCGCGTCTGACCCTCCAGAACGCGCTGCCCCAGACGCGCGTGTGCCTGCTCCGTTAAGGCCTTTACCAGGCCGGCCCCGCCCAGGGCCCCGGAGGCCAGCGTCCCACCGCCGGCCCGACCGCAGGGCTCTGTCTTCGCCCTCTTCTCCACGGCGACGCGCCTCCAGCCGGTGGTCGGGGTCAGGGGTCGCTGCTGCTCGCGGGCTGTGACCCTGCCTCCCTCCCAGGAGCTGGTGGTGGCGCTGACGCACCTGGTGGTTCAGTACGAGAGCAACTTCTGCTCCGTGGCCCTGCAGTTCATGGAGGAGGAGAAGAACTACCCGCTGCCCTCGCCCGCCACCACAGGTACGGCCCCCGCAGCGCAGCCACGGCCTCTGCGGGCGGGCCCTTCGTCAGAACCGTGAGCGGCCCTCAGTTCCGCCAGAAGCGGCGGAGGTACCACGTCCTCGCCACCCGGACGCCAGCTCTGAGTGGCCTGGTTTCCTTGCCACTCGCCGAGCAGGACAGAGAGGGCGGGAAGGGCTGCTCTGACCCCTGCCGCGTCCTCCCTTACCCTTTTGGAATGAGATTCCTGGGAGTGATGGGGGCTGGGGGCTCAGCGCACGTGCCCCTCAGCATCGTGGTGTTGGGTCCCGGCTCTGAGGCATGTCAGGTAGCGCCTAACATCTGCCTTTTACCGAGTTTGTCTCGTTGTCCCGGCCGCCCCTCCCCCGGAGCTCCGCCATCCCTGCCAGGAAGAGGGTTCGTGATCATAGCGATGTGAAGGCATTGCCTCTGTCAGTGGGTCAGGGAGGGGACCGAGGGGTGACGTGCCCCATGTGAACAGCCGTGCGCCACCAGAGGGCAGCCGGGGGGCCTGCCAGCCCAACTCGCAGGGCACCTGGTGCGGCCACGGGGCCTGCTCACGAAACCACACGCGTGGGTCACCTACTCCTCCCCGCCCCACCATGCGCGTGACTTTGGGCAGCTGACTGGCTGCCTGTGTCAGACCCTCACTGCACGCATGGGCTCGGGGTGGCGTTCACACGGCACCCCCAACGCCTGCGGTGAACGCGGTCTCCCCTCCCCCCAGAGAGCGGGAGCCTGACCCCTGTGCGCGACAGCCCCTGCGCCCCCCGGCTACGCTCGGTGAGCTCCTACGGCAACATCCGCGCCGTCACCACCGCCCGGAGCCTGAACAAGTCCTTGCAGAACCTGAGCCTCACGGAGGAATGTGAGAGGCGGGTCCTGGGCACGGGCGGTGGGCGGGGGGGGGAGGGGCGGGGAGGGCGCCGAGGAATCAGTGCCGCCCCTTCTCTGCCACAGACGTGTGGCCTGCACCGAGCCGTGGCCCCCAAAGGCATTGTGGGCACGTGGCTCTGAGCCCCCTCCCACGCCTGGGTCCCCCGCAGCCAGGTCTCCTTGGGAGGGCAGCGGCCCCACGGGTGTCAATCATGCCGCTAAGGGTGGGACCGAAAGGGGGTCTGGGCGCCGGGACTGATGCCCTCCGTGTGCCGGCAGCGGGTGGCGCCGTGGCCTTCTCCCCCGGGAACCTGAGCGCCAGCAGCAGCGCCAGCAGCACGCTGGGCAGCCCTGAGAACGAGGAGTACATCTTGTCTTTCGAGACCATCGACAAGATGCGCAGGGTCAGCTCCTACTCGGCCCTCAACTCCCTCATAGGTGAGGCCCCGCAGCCACAGGGCCCTGGCCGCCCGCCGGGACGTGAGACAGCGCCGTCGCCCAGCTTGGAGCGGATGGCACGAGCCGCGTCCCCGCGAGGGAGGCTGGGGGGACCTTCCGTTGCTCCGTCATAGCCCGGAGACAGCCCCCTGCTCCTGACCCGTCTCCCCTCCCGCAGGCGTCTCCTTCAACAGCGTCTACACGCAGATATGGCGTGTGCTGCTGCATCTGGCGGCCGACCCCTACCCCGACGTGTCGGACCTGGCCATGAAGGTGCTCAACAGCATCGCCTACAAGGTGCGTGTGTGGCCGCGCCCCAGGCCTGTCCTGGCTCAGACACGTCTCCGTCCCCGACACACCCCCGTGAGCTTCCGTCGGGCGCCAGGCGTTTCCCCCACTGCCCACCGAATCGCACCGTCCCCGCCCGCTCCGTCCGGTGCCCCGTGTGGTCGCCCTTGTGCCTGACCTGCTCACCCCCCGCCCGGCTGGAGCGGAACCTGAGGAGCCACCTTCTAGTTTCACTCTCCACTTCCCGGTTGGTTGGCACCTTCATCTTTTATTTCTTCGGCTCACTCTCCCGAGTGCCAGGACCAGGAGGGCACAGCCCCTCTCGCTGGCACAGTGCCAGGCCCTCGGCCCCCAGCTCGCGGAGCTTCCTCCCCCTCGGCCCTGCTGCCCCGTGGAAGGAGGCCAGCCCTGGGCCCCGCTGCCCAGGGAGGAGGGCGCTCCCACTGGTGCGGCGTCTCCTCGCCAAAAAGGCCCTTCCTGCTGAAGCCGCTCGGAAGGCCCAGCCTGTGGCCTCAGCTCGTCCCCCGCTGACCGTGCGTCCCTGGCCCCTGGCTCTTCCAGGCCACCATGAACGCCCGGCCGCAGCGCATCCTCAGTGCGTCCTCCCTCACCCAGTCGGCGCCCGCCAGCCCCACCAACAAGGGCGTCCACATGCAGCACGCGGGGTGAGTACCGGCGCGGCGTCCTCAGGGCTGCGCTCCGGTCCCAGGACGCTGGCTCGCCCACTGCTGCCTCGTGTCCTCGCCTCCCTCCCTGTGCCCCTCACGCCTGCGCGGCTCCCATCTGGCCCTTCCTGCGATCCTTCCGCCTTCGAGGCACAGACCGCAGCCTGGCCCGGGCCTGGCCTCCGCCCCTCGCTCCGAGGCTGTGGAGCAGCTTCTGCATCCCATCGTCCCATCGTGGCTGCCGCGGGCCGCGCTCACTGAGGGAGGAGCGCCGGCCTGCCTCCCACTGGCTCCTGTGGGTCCCCAGGACCTGCTGGGCTCACTGCTCAGCATCAGCAGCTGATGGAGTCGCTGGTGGGCGGGGAGGAGAGGGGGGCCCGGCAGAAGCGGCGGGTGTTTGGCGTCCATGGCGGCTCTAGGTGACGCCGGGTTTCTTCTCCCCGACGGCAGGGGCTCCCCGCCAACGTCCAGCGCCAGCAGCTCCAGCCCCACCAACGATGTGACCAAGCAGCCAGGCAGCCGCGAGCTGCCATCGGGCCGGCTGGGCGCCGCCGGGCCCACGGGGGCGCAGTACACGCCCCACTCCCACCAGTTCCCCCGCACACGGAAGATGTTCGACAAGGGCCCCGACCAGGTGCGTGCCTGCGCTGTGGCACGTGGCTGACTCACAGCCGTGCACGGGTGCCCAGGCCTGGCCTCAGACTCCTGCTCGGTTCACGCCTCGGGGACGCAGGGGCCCGGTCTGAGCACAGCCCCGCACCATGTGGCCGAGGCCTGTGGGGATCGGTGACCAGGCTCCCAGGGGCCTATCCAGCCACTCAGGACAGGGACAGCCCAGGCCACCCCCCCAGCCCCAGGCAACAGGGTTCCTGGAGCACAGACCCAGGTGGCCTCCCTAACGCTGGCTCCTCCAGCCCCTCTCCCACCCAGCCCCGTCCCCTCACTCAGCCCCTCATCCCCATCCCCTCACCCAGCCCCATCCCCTCACCCAGCCCCGTCCCCTCACTCAGCCCCAGGCTTACGGGACGCAGCAGCCAGACCTGCCTTTGTCTGGTCTGAGCGGCTCCGAGACACAGAGAGGCCGAGGGCACGGGCTCACTTGTCTCTCTCCCCCCCCACCCCCTCTGCGCCTGGAAGTCCGCCGACGACCCAGACGACACCGGACACAAGAGCTTCATCTCGGCCGCGATGCAGACGGGCTTCTGCGACTGGAGCGCCCGGTACTTTGCGCAGCCCGTCATGAAGGTGCGCGGCCTGGGGCGTGGCCGGCCCTGTCTCAGACGGGGCAGGAAGCCGCCCGCCTGAGCGTCCTGACTGTGCCGAGCGGGCCTGGTTCCTGCGGGCGGGGGTGGGCCAGCAGCCAGGGCCTGGCCCGATGCGCCGTGCGACCCCCGAGCGTGGGCATGAGGTCCGGCAGGAAGTGCCCTCTCAGCACTGGGCCCTCCGGGCATCGGGGTGTCGCTGTCGCGTGCACACGGATTGTCCCGTGGCTGCCACGCCCGTGGGAACAGCCCCGGTGCCCGGCTTCAGGTGGCGCGCAGCGTTGGCGTGAAAGACGCTGCATCTGCAGTTCCGGGTGCAGCTGACCTAGGAGGCCTCAGGACTCGCGATTTCCTGTTACGTTCATTGGAGATCTTTGCTAAAAGCGTGCTTTATCTCGTTTTGTTGTTTTGCTTTTTTTAAAGATTTTTTAAAATATATTTTTATTGATTTCGGAGAGGAAGGAAAAGGGAGAGAGAGATAGAAACATCCATGATGAGAGAGAATCATGGATCGGCTGCCTCCTGCAGGTCCCCCACTGGGGATCGAGCCCACAACCCGGGCCTGTGCCCTTGACCGGAATCGAACCTGGGACCTTTCAGTCCGCAGGCTGACGCTCTATCCACTGAGCCAAACCGGCTAGGGCTGTTGTTTTGTTTTATTTTTTCATTTTCCTACTTTTTCCAGGTGGTATGCACAGGTGTGCGGTGCTTGCGTTGATTTAACTAGCTGTCTAATGGCACGTGTCTGATGAAATGCAGTGGGAACTTTTCTATTAGCCTGTGTCCCGTGGGAACTAGAAATAGCTCAAGGCTGGGATCGCACCTCAGAAATGAAGACCCCCCCCAGATTCCTCGGTCTCAGGACCTGCGTGCTCACAGCAGAGCTGTCGTCACGTGACACTGGTTAGCAAGGCCGGTCCCAGGCACATGGCGGGAGCGACTGCGTTTGCTGGAGTTTGTTCACGTCGCAGGGACTTCTCCCAGGTCCGAGTGGCCCAGAGGAGCTTCCCAGACAGGGCCCCCCTTCGATGGAGGAGACCACCCCTCTCCCCGCACGCCTCCCAGAGCTCACACCCCCTCCCCACACGCCTCCCAGAGCTCACACCTGCTTCAGAAAGAACATTAGGCACGGTCTGTCGTGTGCTTTAAAGAAGACGCATTGACCTTGGTTCTGATTACGAAGGACACAGGATTTGTGCTCAGTCCCTGGGCAGTGCCAACCTCGCGCCCTGTCCCACACTGGAGCCTCCCACTGGTCCCACACCTGTCAAAGGCGTTGCGAGAGTAAATAGCTACAAGCCAGTGTCCCTCGTAACATGGGCCCCAAGTCCTCACCTAATTAGCAAAGCAACCGCAGCAAATAGAACACGTTCACATGCCGGTGACCAGGGTCTCTGTCCCAGGAAGGCAGGGTGGGCCCTGCGTTTTACATGCTCCTGTGAGGGCTGTACCAATAGAGCAGGGGAAGCCAGGGGCGCCTCCGTAGCTGCAGAGTGAGGGTGGGCAGGACTCCGAGTCCGTTCCTAGTAACCAGGCTGGGGTAGGCAGGGCTTCCCTCGCAGGCACCTGGGGGCCTGTCCGCGTTGTCTGCGTTGGTGGAAGACAGTGGTTTCCTCGAGAAGCAGTGGCAGGCGGCCAGGCGGGAAGCCGCGTGGGGCGGGGGGGAGGGGCAGACCTGTGTGCAGATGGCAGTCGTGTGCGCGGAAACCCAGGTCCTCGGTGCGTGCTGCTGGAGGAAGTGATTCCAGGGTGCCGGGCGCAGCGTCGGACACAGACTCGTGCTTCTGTGTGAAATCACACGTTCCCGTGGCACCCAGAGAAACACGGAATATTTAGATACAAACCCAAAGAACATCGCGTGCCAGAGCCACATGCCGAGAAGTACGGCACCGGGAGATCAGCCCTGAATCAATGGAGAGCCTGTTCGTGGTTGAAAGACTCAGCAATGTCTTCCCTAAATTGATGTTACAAGTCAATACGGTCTCCATCGGAGTCCCAACAGGCTTTTAAGAACCGGCAGCCTCGTCCCCGATGCACGAGGAAAGCAGAGACTGGAATAGCCCGGACGGGGGACGTGGTCGTGGCTGGGACGCACGGTCTCGTGGCGAGGCTCACCGCGCAGCCCAGGCGGTCGGGACACGTGGCGTGGTGGCAGGCCAGTGGGACCCGGGGCCGGGATTGGTCTGGAGCAGTGGGCTGTCCATTCTCAACTAAGACACTGGGTTCGGGGGGGAGGGGACAGTGGGCCGCAGCCCCTCACACCTGCAGGAACGGCCAGAGCGAGTCAGCCCTGAGTGGGGACCACGAAACGTCGGGAAGGGAACCTTGGTGGCCCTGGGGAGGCGCCGGTTCCATGAATCCTACATAATAAAAGGCTAATATGCAAATGCCCTCCACCAGGAGGGGATGGGCCAGTGGCCAGCCTCCCGTGTCCCCACCCGTGCGCGAATCCGTGCCCTGGGCCTCCAGTAGGAGAATAGGATACAAGAAGCAGGAGCCTTCCTAAGAAAAGGCCGCGGGAGCCGCGGGAGCCACTGGCTAGAGACGCGGCGGTGAAGGAGTTTGGGCTGGCTGCAGGCCCTCCGCGCTGGGCTTGGACTCCGGGTCTGCGCTCGGCCCTCCTGACTCCGCCACGGCCGGTGCTCCCAGAAGGACCAGCGCCCCAGGGCCCGGCTGCCTCCGAGGGTGCCCGGGGCCCTGCTCCGGCCACGCCCCTCCATGGCCTCTAACCAGAGAAGGAACCTGGGCCGGGCCTGAGGGCTGCAGAGGCCGGACCAGCCTCTGTGCGGCGTGCGGGGAACGGGCCTGGTTCTGGCCGATCAGTGTCTAACGGCGGGTGTTGCGTTTGCAGATCCCGGAGGAGCACGACCTGGAGAGTCAGATCCGCAAGGAGCGGGAGTGGCGGTTTCTGCGCAACAGCCGTGTGCGGAGGCAGGCGCAGCAGCTCATCCAGAGGGGTGAGGCAGGGACCCTGGGGGCCCGGCCCAAGCCCACACAGCCTGGGTTCCTGCCCCCACGAGTGCGGCTCCTGCATGTGACGTTTCAGAGGGGGAGCGGCCCGCCCAGGCCCGGGTGCAGGCCCGCGTCTGGCTGTGGCTGAGGCCGCTGTGCGTCCCTTGCGCAGGCATCACGCGGCTAGACGACCAGATCTTCCTGAACAGGAACCCCGGCGTCCCCTCCGTGGTCAAGTTCCACCCCTTCACGCCCTGCGTGGCTGTCGCGGACAAGGACAGCATCTGGTGAGTGTGTGCACACGGCACCAGTGCGAGCTGTGGGGGGCGTGTGTGCACACGGCACCAGTGCGAGCTGTGGGGGGGGGGGGGTGTGCACACGGCACCAGTGGGGGGGACGCAGTGTGGCCATGACGGCCGTCCTGGAGGCGGCGTCCCCGGTTTCATCGCTGTCCTCTCTTGCTCCCTGGAGCTTCTGGGACTGGGAGAAAGGGGAGAAGCTGGACTACTTCCACAACGGGAACCCCCGGTACACGCGGGTCACCGCCATGGAGTACCTCAACGGCCAGGACTGCTCGCTGCTGCTCACGGCCACAGGTGAGCGTGTGCACGCGGGCGGCCGGGGGCCGGGAGACGGCGCGTGGTGCAGCTTCCTTGGACCCTGGCCGTTCGCCGGCAGAGGGGCCGTCCTCAGTCACAGCGAAGGCCGCTGTCACCGGGAGTTGGGAGGCTTCTGAGGCAAAGGGCTCCCTCAGACAGCGGGAGCCGTGCCCAGTGCCGGTCGGCCCAGGGAGGGTGTCCGCCTCTGGGACCCGCTCATCCCTGCCCAGGAAAGGCCCGGAGCCTCTGTCCACGCAGCCCCCGCGAGGCGAGGTGGAGGGAGACGGGTCGCCAGGGGCCCTCTGCCTGGCGGCGACCTCACGGTCCCTCCAGTCAGCCCGCACCGGCGGCGGGTCCCACTCTCCCGTTTGGTCTAAATGCCGGCACTTCGGCCTCACCCTGGAGCCTGGTTTGCCCACTGAGCCGCCTGGCGAACCGTCACCTCTCGCAGCACTTCAGACACGGCTCTGCTTCTGGCTTAAGAAGCCGCCGCCCGTCTACCAGCACCTCCATCCCAGGGGGCCCAGGTCGTGGGGGAGCGCGGAGGCTGGGTGAGGGAGGAGGTGGGCGTCCTCCGGGCTCCGAGCCCTGGGACAGAAGGGCTGGCCACTGACGGATCGCTCCTTCCAAAGGTCCCTGGCCCCTCGGGAGGGCGCGCCCACGGGGACAGCCTGCTGGCGGCGCTGCTCCCGCCAGGCCTCCGCGAGGCGCGGGGCATCTTCGTGCTCCTCCTCGTGCCGGGAGCCAGGCCTGCGTGCTGACCGCGTCTCTCCTCTCCCCAAGATGACGGCGCCATCAGAGTCTGGAAGAATTTTGCTGATTTGGAAAAGAATCCAGAGATGGTGACGGCATGGCAGGGGCTCTCGGACATGCTGCCGACAAACCGAGGTCAGTGTCAAGGCCAAGCCTGGAACCGTTAGCCGGCCGCTTCCCCGTCTCCACAAGCGCGTCTGCCTGGGAGAGGCGGCGGTGCAGGGGCCGTCGGGCTGACCTCTGACCTGGGGCGTCCCTGGCCTGCGTGCACCTGTCCTCAGCCTCATCCCTGGCTGGCGGGGGTGTCGCTGGGAAAAGCTGACGGGGCTGGGGGACTGCGTTCTGTTCTCTTTGTACCCAAATTAATCCCCCTTGTGGGGCGGGTGTGCCGTGGTCGCCAGCGTGTGCTTGTGTCTGGGCTGGAGGCCGTGCGCTCGCCTGACCTGCCCTGTGCTGGGCTGGCCCCCCTGTGCTGAGGGTGTGCTGGCTTGGCCCCCCTGTGCTGAGGGTGTGCTGGCCTGGCCCCGCCCTGTGCTGAGGGTGTGCTGGCCTGGCCCCGCCCTGTGCTGAGGGTGCGCTGGCCTGGCCCCCTGTGCTGAGGGTGTGCTGGCCTGGCCCCCCTGTGCTGAGGGTGTGCTGGGCTGGCCCCGCCCTGTGCTGAGGGTGCGCTGGGCTGGCCCCCTGTACTGGGCTGGCCCCCTGTGCTGAGGGTGTGCTGGGCTGGCCCCGCCCTGTGCTGAGGGTGCGCTGGGCTGGCCCCCTGTACTGGCCTGGCCCCCTGTGCTGAGGGTGTGCTGGCCTGGCCCCGCCCTGTGCTGAGGGTGTGCTGGGCTGGCCCCGCCCTGTGCTGAGGGTACGCTGGCCGCAACCCCACAGGCACAGCTCTGCACGCTGCCTGTCGGGTGGGGGAGCCCGGCCGCATGCGCAGTGGGTGCCAGGCCGCCTGCTGCTCTTCTAGGAGGCAGGTCAGGGATCGCAAGGGTCCCGAGGCCTCAGCACACGGCCGCTGTGCCCGCAGAGATGTTCAGGTTGGGGTCAGGCTGTCAGGGTCTGGGTTCCCGGGGCCCTTGTCTCCCTCCCTTGCCCGGTGCTGCTGCTGCCGGAGGCTTCTCTGCTCCACCCCCACCCCCACCGTCCACACTCTGCCCCCTCCTGTCCTGCCCCCTCCTGTCTCCTCCCCCCACCCCGTCCAAGAGCCTTAAGGCGACTCCGGAGCGGGCACCTGGCAGCCAGCAGGGACAGCTCCAGGCCGGCAGCATGGGCGTGTGTTGAAAAACGTAGCCATGCTTTTCAGAAACTGCCAGCCGTGCACCCACCCGCCACACAGCCGTTTCCCTGTCGCCTGGGCCCCTGCAGGCCTGGCGGGAGCTGACGGGGACGGGCCCTGTCTCGGCCTCGCCTTGTACCGAGGACTGCCCAGCGCCGTCTCCGGGGGCCTGCGCCCCCCTCTGCCTCCGGGCGCAGCGGCCGGGCAGCTCCTGCCACATCGGCCGCACTAACGATGTTTCTGGCCACTGACCTCCCGGAAACGCCCCTCGTCTCCCACCTCTGGACGCCTCCCCCGGCCACCCACTGACCTCCCGGAAACGCCCCTCGTCTCCCACCTCTGGACGCCTCCCCCGGCCACCCACCTGCACGTCGGCGCTTCCCAGTCCCGAGCACAGGGACGTGCGGTGCCATGTTAGGTCCCATCTCTCAGTGGCCACAGCACCTCCCACCTCCCGTCCAGGCACAGGCCGTTTGGAGGCAAAGCCCTGCTGACCGAGTGGGGCGTTTGTCAGGTGGACGCTGGCCCGGTCAGCAGGTGCGGCGAGGCCGGCCGCTCCGCCTGTCCCTCCCCTCCCCTCCCCTGCTGCCTGGTGTTCTGAGCCGTCGGTCAGTCTGGTTGGGTCAGTGCGCCTGGCCGCTCGCCTTCCATCAGACCACGTCCCTGTCTCCTCGCAGGTCTGGCCCGAAAGGTCTCCATCTATCTTGACCACAGTAAGCAGGGAGGTGAGTGCCCTCTGCCCCGCGGCCGCCCAGGGCCGGTGGGCGCTGCCCTCTCCTGCTGGCGCCTGTCCCCACGCCCGCGGTGCCCTTCGGGGCGGCAGAGGGTCAGGGCTGGCTTCTCCCTCGTTCCATCCACACCGATCCGCCCAATACAAGGACGTTAGCCGGAGAGCACCCGCTTCCCTGGGCGCGTCAGGGAGCGGGGAGCCCTGAGCCGAATCCCAGCCGCGGAGGGAGCCTCCCTAGGGCCGCCCTCCGGGGCCTCCTCCCTCCGCAGGTGGGGCTCCAGCCCAGCGGCTCCAAATCTCACCCCCTCTGCGGTGCCCCCTCGTGGGCTCACCCTGCGTTCATGGAGGGTCCGCATTCTCCGTCCTCTCCAAGCCACGCCCATGGCCCAGGAATGGGAGCAGCAGGTCTCCATCTGCTGGCGAGGGTCTCGGCCGCCCCCCAGGCCCAGGCCCAGGGCGCACGCGCTGGTCCCAGAGCAGATGCTCCAGGGCGAAGTTGTTTCCCACCAAAACCGTCGAAACAGAACCTTTTCCCCGAGACGTTCATGCAGGGCCTCTGGCAGCATCTGTTCCCAAAGGAGAAACCCGCACGGCTTGACGAGCGCCTGAGCGCAGGCAGCAGCGGGGCTGAGGGCTGAGGGCTGAGGGCTGAGGGCGAGAACAGCCTGGGGAGCCTGGCTCGGTGGGCGGAAGCCCCATCCAATGGTGTCCCAGGGAGACGGGGAGGGTGCTGAGGCGCCGGGGCGGGGACAGCGCCACCACACAGGAGGCTGGTCGGCAGGTCCCGCTGGGACTCTAGTGGCGTCTGCGACTTGCAGCTTCGTCGCGCTTGTGCGGTGCGCCCTGTCCCAGCCCAGCGCCCAGCGAGGGCTTTGTGTACGTTTCACACAACAGGCTCCGTTTCTTTCTGACTTTCACCACGTGGGTGACTCACAAAGAGGCGGAGCCTTACGTAGGCACCAGTGTCAGTCTTTTTCTAGGTGCGTCTGTATTGGTTCTTAGAGTAACAGCCTGGTTGCCCCCACATGTGCCCCAGCCAGGGATCGGCCAGGGATCGGGCGGCCACCTCTTGGTGCACAGGCGATGCTCCAACCAACGGAGCCCCCGGCCTGGGTGACACGTCATTCCTGTCCGGGGCCAGAGCCCGACCAGCCGCCCAGCGACTGTTTGTCCTCATCTGTTTAGTGGCTCATTCTCCACGGGCAGGCAGCACAGCGTGGGGCTGGCGGGGTCCGCGTGGGGCTGGCGGGGTTCGAGTGGGGCTGGCGGGGTCCACGTGGGGCTGGCAGGGTTCGCGTGGGGCTGACGGGGTCTGCATGGGGCTGGCAGGGTCCGCGTGGGGCTGGTGGGGTCCGCGTGGGGCTGGCAGGGTCCGCGTGGGGCCCGGGTGTCCCGGAAGAGAGAACCAGAAGCACCTGCGGACCCTGGGACTCACCATGTAGGGCTGTGAGAAGCTCTTACAGTGAAACCTCTGAGTGAGGGGAGGGGGGACAAGGTGGCGGGGTCTCTGCTGCTGCCCCAGAGGAAAGCGGGGCCGCGGGGGCCGCTCAGAGGAAGGACAGGGTCCCGTCCGGGGACGCTCTCCGCCCACCGCGTCTGGAAGGCAGGACGCAGGACTGGCGGGTCTCGGCGGCGGGCACTGCAGCCCGGGAGGAGGAGCGGCAGGGCCTCCCTTGGCGGCTTGTACATGTGAGAGGCTTCCGCAGGCAGAGGGGTCTCAGGTGACCCCTGGGAGGGGACCCCAGGGTGGTGCCCGCCTGGGGGAGGCTCGTCCCAGGGCGGAGCAGCCAAGGGAGGCTCCCCGGCATCGAAAACTTCTCAAAAAAAAAGCAAAAGTAGCAAAATGTTAGCAACTGTGAGATTGGGGCGGTGGCTACCAGGGTTTCTACCGTGTTCTTCTCTGTGATTAAAAAATTTGCAACTAAACATTTAAAAGTAAATCTTATTCTGCCCCCAGTGTGGCCAGGTGGTTAGAGTGTCAGCCCGGGGCCGGGGGTTCGAGGGGTCGATCCCGGTCAAGGGCACACACCTCGGTTGCAGGTTCGATCCTGGCCCGCTCAGGGCACTGCCAGAGACAACTGGTCAAAGTGTCTCTCGAGTCGATGTTTCTCTCTCTCTCTCTCTCTCTCTCTCTCTCTCTCTCTCAAAATCAGTGGGAAAAATCCCCTGGGTGAGGGTTAACGACAACACATGAAGTCTTATCCTCAATAGAGTCCTCCCGCTCGTCCGCTGTCCCGTCCCGTGTGGGGCAGGCGGCTCCCGGCCCGGTGCCCGGCCAGCCTCGGGAAGCACTGCCGGCTCCCGCTCACGGCAGGCACCGCAGGCCCCGAGCTCCCAGCGGCCGTGCCCAGGGATCCTGGACAGAGTCCGGGGAGGGCCTGTCCCTCTGGCAGTGCCTGGGCCGCAGGGGTCTGTTGCCCCGCCCAGGACGGGTGCACCGGGAGCCCCGGCTCCAGCTTGCGTGGGTCTGGGTCCTGGGTGCCGGGGATGGCGTCTGCCCAGAGCCCCCAGGTGAGGCTGTGCCCGTCTGTCCCCAGGTGCTGGGATGGTGGTGGACTGGGAGCAGGAGACCGGCCTCCTCATGAGCTCGGGGGATGTGCGGATCGTGCGGATCTGGGACACGGACCGCGAGATGAAAGTGCAGGTAACCGCTCAGGGTCCCCGCCTCCTCCCGCCCACGAGGGCACTGAGCAGCTGTGACATGTCAGTGACCGGTGGGGGGAGGGGCCAGGGGGCCTGGACACTGGGAGCCTTCAGACCCGCTGGCATCTGGATCGGGTCACATGGCGGCGTCCTGCCCAGCGTGACAGCCGCCGACCCTGCTCATCCCAGATGCTGATCACGGCCCAGCCAGGGACTAACGACTGGGCTGTGTGCTCCCTCAAGTCCCTTTTACTTTCCCTTTTAACCAAGAGACCGGAGTGCAGGGGATTGCCTGGCCCTCCGGGCAGGTGCCGGCCCAGACCCCGGGCTGGAGGCTCTGCCCCCCCCTGCGCCACGCTTTCTCTCTGCTCCTCCTGCACTTACAGCGGCCAGGCCAGGACAGGACGAGGGCGGGTGCTGTGTGGGCTGGGAGCTCCCCTGGGGCCTAGGCCCTCCCGGACAGCAGGCGGCCCTCCCTGACAGCAGGCGGCCCTCCCTGACAGCAGGCGGCCCTCCCGGACAGCAGGCGGCCCTCCCTGACAGCAGGCGGCCCTCCGGGACAGCAGGCGGCCCTCCCGGACAGCAGGCGGCCCTCCCGGACAGCAGGCGGCCCTCCCTGACAGCAGGCGGCCCTCCCGGACAGCAGGCGGCCCTCCCGGACAGCAGGCGGCCCTCCCTGACAGACAGCAGGCGGCCCTCCCTGACAGACAGCAGGCGGCCCTCCCTGACAGCAGGCGGCCCTCCCTGACAGACAGCAGGCGGCCCTCCCTGACAGACAGCAGGCGGCCCTCCCGGACAGCAGGCGTTCGCGGAGTTAATGCTCCGACTGCCCGAGGGCTTGTCCCTCTTTCCAGGAAAGGGGGGCGTCGGGAAGTTTAATTGGCTCAGTTACCAGCCTCTTTGCCGGCTGCGGCCCAGGGATCAGGTCTCGGCGTGGCTCCCGGCTGGGCCCTGGTGCGGCCTGTCATTGGGCCCCAGTGGCCTGACTCACTTCCCAGCGGCCCTGCAGGTCCCCTGGGCTCCACGGGCTCCGTCGCTTCCTGGTGGAGCAGGCGCAGTCCCTGGCCTGGCGGCAGGCACTCCCAGCGGCTGCGGGGCTCACCGGTCTCTGTGCTCGGCCCTAGGACATCCCCACGGGCGCTGACAGCTGTGTGACCAGCCTGTCCTGCGACTCCCAGCGGTCCCTCATCGTGGCCGGCCTCGGGGACGGCTCCGTCCGCGTCTACGACCGGAGGATGGCCCTCAGCGAATGGTAATGCGGCTGCGCCCGACCCACCCGGTGCCCCTGGCGCCCGTGGTCACATCTCTGCCAGGCTGCGGGGCCCAGACAAAGTGAGCCCAGGGCCCAGGGCCCCGCAGAGGCCTCACACCCTGTGAGCGTGGACGGGCCACGGCGGTGGGGCCGGGTCCAGGTGCTGCCTCCGAGCTCAGTTCCCCGGGGAGGCTGCTGCCCACCCCTCTGTGTCGCACGTGAGCAGCTGTGGCGTTGGGACCATGTGCATGGGCCCTGGTGGGGCAGGCAATGGGCCGGTGAGGGCACCTGTATGGGTGCTGAGGAGCTGGTGTCCGCTGTCCGCCACCGGCCCAAGGCCGGGGCTGCTAGGTGACAGCGCACATTGCACCCTGGTCCTGCGTCCCCCGCCTGCCTGCCTGGGGCTCTGACCTGTGTCCCCTGCTCTGCCCGCAGCCGCGTCATGACGTTCCGGGAGCACACGGCCTGGGTGGTGAAGGCCTGCCTGCAGAAGCGCCCCGAGGGCCACATCGTGAGCGTCAGGTAACGGCTGGGCAACTGCTAGAGCGTTTCCCGCTGGGAAACGTCCTGGTGTCCACTAGCCACCGTGGGCCCCGCACGGGCAGGGCTGGCTCGGTCCTCCCACTGGAGCGGCGAGAGCCTGCCGGGGGTGCAGGGAGCAGGTGGGAGGCTCGCCCCTCAGTGGGCACAGGGCCTCCACTGGCGCCTGGCTGGGGGGTCCCTGCCTGAGCCACAGTCGTCCCCCCATAGCTCAGTTTCGGACGCCGGGTCCCTTCTTGTGCTGAGAGCAGCGAACGTTCACTTGCCGTTAAAGGGACAACAGATGTCATTTACTGTCACGGTCGCTGTCTGCCTTGTGATAGTAAACACAGAGCGTGGCTCTTGGAATGACACCCACGGGGCCGGGCCGGGCAGGAGAGCGCGCCTCACTCCCCCCCCCCCCCCCCCGCCCGGGGCCCCGCAGTGGATTTCCTTTCCGGGGACAGGGAAAGCAACAAAGGGTCGCTCCCCAACTCTTCCCCGTGGGACCCCGCTGTTCCCGAGTGCCTGGCAGCTGAGGGCCTGAAGGGACTTAACAGTCTTTTTAAGCTCGAAGGCACCCCCATGGGCCCTCCCGGTAGTGGGGTGGACACCACCCCCCCCTCACGATCCCTCTTTAGT